CAAATTGGGAAATGTCATTAAAACAGTGAATGATGATGCAGGATGTACATATATTCAGTCATGCTAAATTACATTACCTACTTGCATTATAATTGTAATGAATGCACTCAGCAAAATGTAATATTACAGTCAAAAGACATCAATAGTCTTAGTCAATAGAATGCATTTCCAAAGGGAAACAGCTGTCCAGATGATTTCATCTCTATGTACATTTATATAAAACAAAGAACTAGCATATGTACAAAAATGGACTTACCCATTGTACTCATTTGACACCACTAAGGGGCGAAGCTGCTTATCTACTACAAGAGTACATGGGACACCAACAATAGAGATAATAGCAATGTACTCCAAAAGATGGATGGGTCAGTCCATAGTTGACAATTATATAATAAATGCAGGGCCAATACCAGCTTTTCATAATTGTCTCTGAAATTTACAGTCCCTGGCAATGTTCCTGTTTATTCAGAATGACCAACTGTACCAAACAATAGGCTAAATACAAAGCTTTAAAAAAAACAAAACATATATATATATATATATATATATATATATACACATTGGTATAAATATATATAAAGGTTTGACTATTCTCCCAGCACTGGTCAGACACTGATGTCGGACAAGAAGGCCTGGCTCGAGGAGGTCTCCGGTCTAATTCATCCCAAAGTTGTTCTATCGGGTTGAGGTCAGGCCAGTCAAGTTCCTTCACCCCAAACTCGCTCATCCATGTCTTTATGGACCTTGCTTTGGGCACTGGTGTGCAGTCATGTTGGAACAGGAAGGGGCCATCCCCCTCTATGGGCATTTGGATGTAAACGGACTGGCTGTCCATTTATACCCGACCGCCATTCGATCCAATCTGTCCAGACAGAGGGGAACGGATCCCCTTTCTGCTTGTTTTTGCTAGATCAGATTGGAGGTAGCCAGGTGTAAACAGGCACAAGTCCGTTTACGTCCGGCTACCCATAGAGGAAAATGGAGGGTCCAGTCGGGTCCATCTGAAAAATGGACAGGTGTACCTGACAATGTAAAAGGGGGCCAAACACTCCCAGCTCTGCACACAGCAAAGCCAGCCAGGAGATTTAACTTTGCTCTCAGTTTTGGTGTCTCTTCAGCTAGCAATGAAAAACAAACAAAACATGTAAATAAATAAAAATATGGAGTTAACACATTTGAACCTTCAATTATTTATACAGCCGTTCTCCTTTAAAAACTTTACTGTCAACTTGATTTTTTATTTTTTTTAAAGAAAGGCATTTTGTTTATGATTTGTACAGCGCTGGGCAAAACTGTACGCTCTGTATAAAAATAGTAAATAACGGATGTTCTCCTCTCCCCTTTGCTGAAGTAATGTATCCAGGCAGCAATAACTCACCGCTATAACTGGTCCCCTATCTGTACGCGTCAGCCTCCACTGTGGCTAAATACATAGCACTGCAGAAGCTCTGCAATTGAATCATAGAGCAGCGAGCGCAGAAACAATATATTCGCTATGATTCTGGAAAACCTTTGCGTTCCATACCAGCTTGTATTTACTTTTGCATGAAACAATTACATCAAATTAGCATATATCCTCTGAATTTTTTTTACTGTCTGAGTCTTTTAATCGGTTTAGGTTTGGAAAAAACTGATTATTCTGTACGATGTTTGATGTAAACAAAATGAAAAAGAAAGAGGGGAAAAAAAAATGTCATCCCTAAGCGAAAGGTTAAAATAAACGCCTAATTATGGATGTTCATGTTAATGCTGATCTTTGAATTTTCTTTTTTTTTTTCTCTTGATAAAGGTTAGCCTGCCAATGAGTTAACAAAGGAGACAGCTATGCTGTGTAGCAGTTTGTGCCGGGATTCTAAATGGCCTAATTAAGCAATGAGAAGACTTATAGAACACCGCTCTGGAGGAAACAGGAAAATCCATAAGCCACTGCCTTGCAGTACTTTGCAAGACTTCACAGATTCGTCTGTTGGGTAAAGCAAATTCTTTTAAAGGGACCCTCCACCCAAAGCTGATAGTGCCTCCCCTTTATTCCATGGAGCACCATCCCTTTCTCTAGAAATGAGCATGGCAACAAAATAGTCTTTTAAAGGGAAACTAATATTGCCAAAATTATCAGGACACCCCTCCAAATCATTGGATTCAGGTGTTCCAATCACCTCTATGGCCACAGGTGTATAAAATCAAGCACCTAGGCATGCAGACCGCTTCTACAAATATTTGTGAAAGAATGGGTCGTTCTCAGGAGCTCAGTGACTCCAAGCGTGGTACCGTGATAGGTTACCACCTGTGCAATAAGTCCGTCGTGAAATTTCCTTGCTACTAAATATTCCACAGTCAACTGTTAGTGGTATTATAACAAAGTGGAAGCAACTGGGAACAGCAGTGTCAGGAATGGACTCAGCACTGGTGGTGGGACTCACCTGCCGTGTGGGCTGCAGTACCAGGGCTGACCAGCGGGTGCTCTCAGCAGCCAGAAGCTCACTCCTGCAGTCAGCCAACACCTGGGGCTGATTGCAGGAGGTGTATTTAAGGAATGACCAGGCCTGTGATCAGTGCCTTGGTGTATGTTTCCCATGAGCCCCTGTACCTGGTATCCTGTGTTCCTGCTTATCTGCCTAGTTGCTGACCCTGCTTTGATCCTGACCTCTGCTGACCATCTCCTGTTGAACCCCTGGCTTGCCTGACCATCCTTCTGCCTGATCCTCTGTACTGCGCTGCCCGTGAGTTACTGACCCGGCTTGTGACCCTGACTATTCTCTGCCTGCTCCTCCGGTACCTCACTGCCCGCACGTTGCTGACCTGGCCTGCCTGACTACTCCTGACGCAAGCCAGACGATCCGTCCATCCCGCACGGATCCAGTCACTACTGTCCAAAACTGCCAGCCCCTTCACATCAGGCTTTCCCCCGTTACATACCCTCGGCGGACCCCTCTACCACAGTTGGGTGCACTCAGGGGCCGCGACCTGGTCTCAGTCCTGCGCCAAGTCCATCCCCACCATAAGGGTCTCTGGTGAAAAGGCAGACTGGGGCTTAGACTCCGCGCCCTGGGGAATCCTGGTCTGTGGGTCACTAGAGATCACGCCGGGCGGTGCCTGACGGTACGTTACGGCCCGTCTGACCATTCCACCTCTCCAGCCCTGACTACACCTGTGTTCCTGAAGCCTGCTACTTCCCTGTGTCAGTCCACATATTTCTGGTCATACCCGGATCCTTAACAAGCAGTAACTGAGCTACGAAGTGGTAGGCCACATAAAATGGCAGAGCAGGGTCAGCTCATGCTGAGACACACAGTGCGCAGAAGTCAGCAACTGTCTGCAGAGTCAATAGCTAAAGACCTCCAAGCTTTGTGTAGCTTTCATATTAGGACAAAAACAGTGCATAGAAAGCTTCATGGAATGGGTTTCCATAACTGAGCAGCTGCATCCAAGCCTTACATCACAAAGTGCAATGGAAAGCGTTGGATGCAGTGGTGTAAAGTATGCTGCCACTTGACTCTAGAGCAGTGGAGATGTGTTCTCTGGAGTGATGAGTCACATTTCTCTGTCTGGCAATCTGGTGGATGTGTCTGGGTTTGGCGGTTGCCAGAAGAACTGTATTGTGCCAAGTATAAAGTTTGGTGGAGGGGGGATTATGGTGTGGGATTGTTTTTCGGGGATTGGGCTTGACCCCCTAATTTCAGTGAAGGGAACTTTTAACGTGTCAGCATACCAAGACATTTTAGACAATTTCATGCTCCCAACTTTGTGGGAACAGTTTGGGGACGACCTCTTCCTGTTCCAACATAACTGCGCACCAGTGCACATAGAAAGGTCCATAGAGACATGGATGAGGGAATTTGGGGTGGAGGAACCTGATTGGCCTGATGTCAACCCGATAAAACACTTTTGGGATGAGTTAGAGCGTAAACTGCAAGTCAGGCCTTCTCATTTGACGTTAGTGCCTGACCTCACAAATGCACTTCTGGAAGAATGGTCAAACATTCCCATAGACACACTCCTAAACCTTGTGGACGGCCTTCCCAGAAGAGTTAAAGCTGTTATAGTTGCAAAGGGCGGGGCCAACTCAATATTGAACCCTACGGACTAAGACTGGGATGCATTAACCACTTGACCTCCAGAGGATTTACCCCCCCTTAATGACCAGGCCTCTTTTTGCTACTCGGTGTTGCACTAATTCAACTGATAATTGCGCGGTCATGCAATGCTGTACCCAAACGAAATTTACGTCCTTTTTTTCACACAAATAGAGCTTTCTTTTGGTGGTATTTGATCACCTGTGCGCTTTTTATTTTTCACGCTATAAACAAAAAAAGGCCAAACATTTTGAAGAAAAAAACTATATTTTTTACTTTCAGCTATAAAAAATATATAGTAAACTCAAAGTTGGTTATAAATTTAGGCCAAAATGTATTCTGCTCCATGTTTTTGGTAAAAAAAATCCCAATAAGTGTATATTGATTGCTTTGTGTGAAAGTTATAACCGTCTACAAACTATGGTATAAATACTGCAATTTACGCCATTTTTTTGCTATACAGCGCTGCGCTAGTTTAACGGACAATTGCGCGGTCATGCAATACGGTACATAAATGAAATTTACATCCTTTATTTTTTCCCCACAAATTGAGCTTTCTTTCGGTGGTATTTGATCGCCTGTGCGGTTTTTATTTTTTGCGCTATAAAAAAAAAGGCTGACAATTTTGAGGAAAAAAAACAATATTTTGGACTTTTTGCTATAAAACATGTCCAGTAAAAAAAAATTTAAAAATCAAATTTAGTTATAAATATCTGCCAAAATGCATTCTGCGACATGTCTTTGCTAAAAAAAAAAAAACCCAATACGTGTAAATTAATTGGTTTATGTGAAAGTTATAGCGTTTACAAATGGCGGGAAAGATACTGGGATTTTTAGTTTTTTTTTATGCTAATAATGGTGGCGATCAGCGAATTATGGCGGGACTGCGTGACTGCGGCGGACATTCTGACATTGGGGGGTACTGACTTGGAGTCACTGACATCCCCAGTGACACCAATACAGTGATCAGTGCAAAAAAAAAACACTAACTCTGTACTAATGGCACTGGGGAGGAAGGGGTTAAGTTTATTATTCAGGGAAATGGTTAACTGTGGGAGGGGAGTGTTTTACTAGGGGGTGGGGGTGTGTACTGCAGGGAACACCGCTGATCGGGAGAGAGAAACTCTTCTGTCCCGATCAGCGTGTCCTGGAGCTGTCAGGGAACTGATAGAAAGCACAGCTACTGCAGCTGTGCTCTCTTGTCAGCGATTGCCGCCAATTGCCGGGACATAGCCGGTAACGACCATCTGTGACCCGGCGATTGACATCCGTGGCTGTGATCGGCGGGACAAGTAGGGCGGCAGCACGCCTTGCGTGCGCCCCCTACCTGTTTTCAAAACACACATTTTAAAATGTGCTTTTGCCCAGCCGTGCCGCCCTGCCACCGTATTTATACAGTGGCTGGACGGCATGTGGTTAAAGTTCATGTGCGTGTAAAGGCTGGCGTCCCAATACTTTTGGCAATATAGTGTATAATAGCCTGATTCATCAAGCTACAATTATATTCGAAAATTTGTTTAACGTGAACCTACAGCCAGGTTATGGACATTTACAGTTTCATGTACTCTTGACAAGCAACAAATGAAATTTAAAACAAGCCCATACTGATCTCTATAGCTATAAGTACTGTGGAGGAACTCATCCTCAAAGTAAAAATCAGAAGCACTGAAGTCAGTCATGCTGAATCTGTCAGCAGCTCAGTCGACCTGCTGCCCCCTACCGGAGCTCTTGCTCTGTATTTAAGTTAGAGATTATTAGGATGAAAGGCCGATGGGTTACTAAAGGGTTGGGCATGTTCCCTAACTCACACTATCTACATTAGAGAGACGTGCACTCACACCCGCACACATGTCAGATTGGGAGTCCCAATAGACATCAATAAGGACTGCCAAATGGATAGACACAGCCTTCGTACGGGATACACATTGATATGCCCCATGTGAACAAGGCTTAAAGATTAACGTTTAGACACAATTTACACTGTTGCAACATGCTAAAATGCATGTGTAGGCAGCTGAAGTCTACATTCTCCACTGCAGGTGGCACTTGTCTGTAGCAGGAGTATTCGAGAGAAATTAGATCACTATGGTTTCCTCCTGTCCCCTGGAACAGTAATCAGATTGGATATGCTGGAGCCAGGTGACCCTGGCTGTGATCTTAGGTCATGCAGAGACTTTTTAAGTCCCTGCTCAAAGGGTTTTGGTGCACTTTATGTGAGTGGCTAGTGTAGGGACAGGATACTCCTCTGTCAGGGACAGTACTAGTGGTAGGGAGAGGGTGCAGTGGAGTAAGGAAAAAGTAGGGCCTACGTCTGCCTCTTCAGGAAGCTACCATTTTGGGTTGGACCGGCCAGGCTCCACTTCACTCCCTTGACAGATGCTGTAAGTAGCTCGGACTATAATACCACTGACTCAGCTGTGAACTGTTTTCTGGTCAGTTGAGCTCTCCTGCCAAGCTTGTTGATACTGTCTTCTAAGTTCTGCAATACATCATTTTTGCCAATCTTTGTGCTTTCTGCTGCTGAACCACACTGCACCTACCCAACACGTGTACAATTTCCTCTGTAAAAAAAAATTGTATCACTTCCCATTTCAGTTCTGCAGTGCAGTTTATTTGCAAAAATTTTACGTCAGTTTTTTCTACTTTTTAGCGTATTTAGAGCCCCATGGAAGTCAATGGAAGAGCATCAAAATTTTTATAACATGCATTTGTTATGATAACAGGTATTAACAAGTGATAATACTGGTTACCCCTTGGTCAATGCTGGTTAACCTGATCCACTCCACATTCTAAATTCAAAAAAACATTCTAAAAGCATCTTAATATGCATTGAAACTTATGTCAACATGAGAAGATAAAGCAGGGGGATGCATGACCAAAAAAACCCTAAATGCACACAGTGATGACTGTTAGGCACCTGCCCATATCCATTTGGAATAAGCAATGCATGTTATAGTTGTGGTCATGTGCACTGCTCTATGCATGCTACAAATCTCATAGTCCATAGTCCATCTTGGGTGTGAGCAAGAGAGGGAGGCTATGTTCCTGCAAACAGTGGGACCATGGAGAAAGAACATAGCCACCATCTAACAGGAAGTTGGATCACAGCAGGAAAAAAAGTATTTGGAGATTTAGAGGTGAGTAAGGTACTATTTTAAGTTAGGAATTCATATTTGAACAGCATTTTTGTTTTTTGAAAAGTTTAGGGTCACTTTAATGTACTTAGTACACCATTATCAAGCTCCATGTTTTAATACCAGCATCTTTCCTGGATTAGCACCCTCCTTTTTAGGGTATTAGGATGCAAATTTAGTCCAGCCCCCCTGTAGTCAGTGGAGCAGTTGTGAATTTCGTTAGCCTGTTCAGTTCTTCACAGGCTGCTGGTCTGATAATTTCTCCCTGCATTCTAGAGGGTTCCGGAATCACAGTGGGAGGAAAAGCAGATGGGCAGAATGAATATTTATGGGTCTTCAGCCAATGCCTGGGGAGGTGTACCTAGTAGGTGGCTGTGGTGCCCATAAAATAGACTATGGCCTGGAGCTGTGTGTGTGAGCCCTGGGTTGAGTCCTGCAAGAAGAGTCCCTAGCCTGTGGAGGCTCTGCCATAATGAGCAGATCACTGGAACACTGTGCTCACTCAAGGTCCCAGCTGTGGCATAACTGGGGGGCTAGTTAAAGGGTTACATCTGGGGACCTGGTCTGGAGAGCTTGCTGAAGAGTGCCTGGTGGAATTTGGAAGGGGGTGTTCAGCTGTCCGGTGGCATTGCAAGTGTTTGGTGGATATCGGAAGGAGGCAGCTGGTGATCTTGTGAATACCGATCTGAACTCAGAGCCCTAGTGAGTATGTGCAGTTTTCTCTTTTCTTTAGAAGGTTCTTGTAATTGATCTGCCAGTTGTGGCTTTTACAAGAACTTGCTTTCATCTACCTTTCCTGGTACTGTTTAGGGAAAAAGAAATGCCTCTTGATATTCAGGTGCCACTCTTCACCCTATCCAAGTTTGTTCAGCAATAAAAAGCATAATAGAAATCACCTAGACTATTTATTGAGCCAGAGAGAGAAAATGCTGTGTGCCTGACTGCCTCTACACTAACATTTGGGTAAAGAACAGGGGCGGACTGACCAATTGGAAACTCGGGCACTGCCCGAGGGCCCAGGGTTAGTAGGGGGCCCATGAGATGCCCATGGTACCTTTTTCATAGGCTTTTTTGAGTTTGGGCAAGGACACGGGGCCCCATGATCCCCTATTGCCCGGGGGCCCCATGAGTTGTCAGTCCGCCCCTGGTAAAGAACCATTCAAGTCTGGCTCAATAAATAGTCTAGGTGATTTGTTTTATACTTTTTATTGCTAAACAAACTTGTAAAAGAAACTTGTCTACTTTCCAAAAGGGGTCATTTTTAAGGTTTTTTTCTGTCTTGACATATTTTAAACAGATAGTAGTGGAAACAGTTTTTTTTTATAATTTGGTCTTTTTTTCCTGTATACAGTAAATTCATTTGGATACAGTGTTGCATGATGCAGTAACTGTCAGTCAAAATATAACAGTGCTGAAAACTGAAAAAATGGCCTGATAATAAAGAGGGTGAAACATGTTGGTACTGAGGTGATTAAAATGCAAAGGCTTGCTCTTCAGTATGTCTATAAGAACCAATTCTTATTTGTTTGGTCTCTGTGGGCACTCAGGTGACATAGTTAATGAGCTCTGGTAAAGTTTAATACTCTTTGCTGTTATTTTCTTTCTAGAACTGCAGAATTAAATTTATTCATCTTAAAAGGTTACACACTTTGCTGCAAACTGCAACTTATTTAAAATGTTCTACTTCAGTAGTATTCATTGTGTTTGGGATTAAACTTCACCGCTTAAAGGAACTTACTTTTGGGAAACTTAATGCATGGTTTATTACCCCTTTGCTTTGACTAAACAACCCTGTTGCTATACTAATGTGCAGGCATTTAAAGCGTTTCTAAACCCTAAAACAAAAATGTAATATATTACAGCCTATGAGTCCTTAGATGTGGTCGCTGTATTCGTTTTCTTTTATTCAGGCTTTTTTTCTCTAAAAGTAGAATTAAAGGCAGGTCTTTTTCTTTTATTTTGGATAGAGAAAGGGAGGGTTATAACCTCATTTTTAAAAAATGTTTTTTAAAGCATATGTATCCCATTGGGGAGATTTCTCTTCACTTCCTGTCCCATAGCCAAAACAGGAAGTGAGAGGAAATCCTTCTAAAGTGACCAATCCCTGGTTGTCACCTGGTTTACAAGAACTAGTGTCCCCATTGGAGTAATGAAAATGACAGAAAAAATCCTCTTGCGCTAAAATGGAGCCCTAACCCTCAAGCAGCTGACACTAACTCTTACCAATGTGAGTAAAGTGAATATTATTATTATTACATCGAGTTTATATAGCGCCAAAGGGTTTGCTCAGCGCTGTACAATAGGGGGGACAATACATGGCACAGTACAACAAAAACAGACAGCGTACGAGGGGTAAGAGGGCCCTACTCTTTCAAGCTTACAATCTAGGAGGGAGGGGGTAGTGGAACAATAGGAAGTGGCTGAGGGGAATGAAGTGGCTGAGGGGGATGAAATGGTGGGAGGAATGAGGGAGGATGGCCGTTAGGTGAGGGTGGGGTAGGCTTCCCTGAAGAGATGGGTTTTGAGGGAGCGCCTGAATGTGGGGAGGGAAGGCAACAGTCGGATGGATTGGGGCAGTGAGTTCCAGAGGATAGGGGAGGACCTGGAGAAGTCCTGCAGTCGTGCATGGGAGGAGGAGACCAGGGAGCAGGATAGAAGGAGGTCCTGTGAGGAGCGAAGGGTACGGGTAGGGTGGCACTTGGGGATCAGGTTGGTGAGGTAGTCAGGGGCAGTGTTATGAACGGCTTTGTAGGTCAGGATTAGAAGTTTAAATTTGATGCGTTGGGCAATCGGGAGCCAGTAAATATATTAAATAAATATATATTAAACAGTGCAGCGCTATAAATGTGAATACATAAATATATATATCTCCCAACCAATTCAACAAACTAACCCAGTGTACAAAAAGGTTAAACTATTAAAAAGTGCAACATGTATATTCCCACCGGGAATATAAAATATATGAATGTGATCCGTGTCGTATCAACACTCAAAAATCAAAAACATCAAATAATCACTCTGCTGTGAATAAATTTTGCACAATAATACAACACGTCAAATGTCCATAAAAGGTGCTCAAACAATAATTTCCATGCAAGTGCTGCTAAGTGCTCACTCCGTGCAATTCCTCAAATAGCCGAAGTGCCCCCTCACCTCCTTAAATCGACCCCACAGGGTCAGCTTGGTCTGAGAATCAGAAACCCCTCTGAATGGCCACAGGATCCTGTTCACATCCACTCCCAGGTCCTCCAATGTGCACAGCTCTGTCAGCAGCAACCCCTCCGGATCATATACAAACAAAGAACCTCCATAGTGTAAAACAGTAAGGAATAAAATGCCCACTCACATGCTGTTTCT